GCTAAAAAAAGCTTATCACCTTAAACTCACATTGCAGGTTATGGCACTCTTCTAAGGAGGAGGAGGAATAACTCCCACAGGTGCATGAGGGCATTAAACCCAGATCTTTTACTTTCTGGGTGAATAGCAATGGAGAAATTGAGGTAGCCAGACACGTGACCTTTTTGTTTTACTGCAATGTTTGAGGAAGAGCAAGACTACTTGCTCTTCAGGAGAAAATCCGTACAATTCAGGACAAAAGCTCTGTGCATATGGTGGGGCTTAAGACTGTGGATCCTAAGCAGAGATACTTCCTTCCAGCCCTGAGTAATGGGCTGGGATTGAGGAATGGCATTAAAACTCACCCTGTCCTTAGTGCTCCCTGTTGATTAGGCAGCTCTGCTTGGTGGTTTCAGCTTTACAAGGCAACCTAAAGATCAAACACCTGCTGCTGGATTGATTACAGTAATTCAGTAGCTAAAAATGTCGATCTGTAGCACTTTAGATGCCTATATTTTTGACTGGTCCCAAGTTCTGCACTGAAGCTCCTGCATTAAAGGGTCACAACAAAAACAAGTTTATAAAAAAAATGCAGTTATTCTCTGAAATGGACAGTTTAACTTTGGTCATTTTAACATTTCACTAACATTTTGTTAAATTTCAAATTAACAAAATTACTCTGCAGAAAATTGTATTATACCCAGCTACAACATCACCATGAAAGAGTTCAGCACAGTAATATTGAAGTGAAAGGTATACTTTGCTATTTTGAGTCAAATACGACATTTTTCTGACCTGCTGCTGTTAATCATTTCAAGATATGTTTACATGTCTGTTTTTTGCCAACCCACTTTCAGCTGTCACCAGCCCCCACAGAAAATAATAATAAACACCGAGTACACCCACAACGAGGTAACTGAAAATGGGTTAGATGCAGAGAGAGGTGTGGAAGCTCTGAGAACATAAACCATACAGCCTTTCTCATCCTTTGTCATACATCTCATACTCTGACCCAACAACAACATACAGTGTTGATTTCCAGGTGCAGATTTTATTGTGGATCATAACAAAGGTTTCAGGAAAAGCACAGGAAAAAATCACCAATAGTGTCTCTTACAGAGTACATAAAATATATTCTGTGAAAGCTACTAATCCTGCAGTTGAAGGCAATGCAGCTTAATTTAAACTAATCATTATTTTCAGATACATGTATAAGAAGCAAATTTTGCAAATATTCTCTTTTCTCAATTAATTTGATACTGAAATTGAGAACCACATATTTCCGTGACACTAACACCGTTGCAGAGTGTGCAGTATTAAACTGTTAGACAGAAAAGAAAATCTCATTATTGCAAAAAGATATAGTCACAGAGAAAATATCGTCAAATATAGAAAATCAGCCCTAGTAAATGTTAAATGACTCAAAGCCTCTTTGGAAAAATCTGTATATGCTGAGGTATGCATAATTTTGGAATTTTGGTGCTGCTATCTCAATTTTTCATGTGATAAAACAAAACAAAAATAGCTTACTTTAAATATAACTTTCTACATAGTATTTCTTCAGCCTTTAATTGTACTTTAACTGTAAAGAGAAGACCCATACTAATTCTTACAGTAAAATGACAGAAGTCTATTTGGTAACAGTGTAGAAAATCTTGCAAGAGGTCTTCAAGGCAGTGTTGTCTCTTTGGGTGCTGAGCACACACAGAGGCCATTCACGAAGGCTGTTGTGACAGGAAGACAAGAGTAACAAAAGAGAGACCTAAAGCTAGTATCTAGTGTATTAAATATCTTCTATATCTTTCTCTAATGAAATAAACCCCATACTTTTACAAGCCATTCTGCTTTACAACACTGTGGCTTGTGGCAGGGTGTTTGCTAAATTAATCTGTAACATGAATTTAAAAACGTATTTTAAGAAAATAGGTGAGAACAAAGGTCAACTGAGTAGCATTTGCCTCAGTCAATATAGTCTGCCTGAATGTAAACCATTCCCAGTACTGCAACCCTCCGCAGAACAGAAAGGACCAAATTCTCTGTGGATTTAATGCCACTGGTTTACATGGAGATACGGCAATCAGCAGCTTGGCCCACAGCCAGTCGAAGTAGATGAGGACCCTATTCCAGTACTCACCGGCCCACCTGAATTCCTAACTGTGTAGCTGCAAGGGCTGCTGCCCCCCTAAGAAATGCAAAGAACTACATATTCTGCAGTCAGCTCATTTAATTAGAAACTTGGTTCATCTGTACTCCATCAGAAATACAGAGTAATCCAATTCTGGATTTATATGTGTGACTCAGGTAAAATTTTGCAAAGATTCCTTCAATACCTTTTTTTCTAGGAACTGTTCTTTATGTCAACTAATAAATACTAGTCAGCTGGGAAAGAACTCTGAAAGGAGTTGACCTCAAGATATGAAGATTTTAGATAATTATTTTGACATCTTTTTTACATACTATTAAGAATCTGTAGCTCCCCTTTGAAAGAAATGTTTTGTGTGGTTGACAGAGCATGCCAGGATCCATCAATAGCAAAAGGATGCCTATCTCCAACCACAAAACAAATCTGGATACCACATTGCTGGATGCACTGGATGGATTAGAAGTCAGAGAAGCACAGAAAACTGTCTTCTTTTGGCAGTTCTGTAATGCCCCAGCAGCAGAAATGTTTACTGTTTCTTTGGTACTCCAGGCAGACTAATAATCTGCCAGTTTTCAGTGGACTCAGCTACCTGTGGGCCTTCATGTGACAAGGGCACAATGGACAAGCACGCTGGTCTGGTGGATGAGATCCAGATACCACCATGAGATCTTAAGGCAGTGGCTTGGATTCATACCATCTGGCTTTAGAAACACAGCCAAAGTGTTGAGATGGCAGCCCTGAGATCAGGGGCTCCCTCCAGGACCAGAAGAGAAACTGGCCTCTCCAGGTGACTGTTCATATCTTACATGGGCTAAAACCACTGATTTGGATCTACTGAATTGTATAAAGTAATTATAAATAAAACCAGGATTGACTTAAAACAGCTTTTGTATTAATATAAGCAGTGAGGAAAATCCTGCATTCAGCCGTACATCAGTATGCACGGCTGTGTATCAAGGATCAGAACATCATGGGTGTCAGCAGAATTTGGCCCAGCTTCCCTGAAGGAGGGTGCTGGCCTACACTGATTGCTGAAAAGCAAACTGTCTACAGTAGTATTCTATATTTCTATAATATTCTGTATCAAAGCAATAAATATTAGATATAATCTGTATTTAGAATTCATATTTATCTGATAGCTATTTAAATCTATACTGTCAAAAATATAAGCAGTGACTCACTCCTACATGGCAGCATATACTATTTGTGTGAATGTGTAAAAACTATCACATGGGTCTATATTTACATAGGACAATATATAGCAGATTTTAATTTACATAAATTCTTACCATAGGACAAATAACTGTGTAAAGGTTGGATATTATTTAAATGTTTCTATGGTTCTACATAATTGCATTCAGCATGAGGTTTTCAGCATTCTGTCTCAGCTTTATGTTTTGAAAGGGTGGAAAATGGGAGCCTGACTTCAGGATCTTCAATAATGCTATACCAATATAGCACGGGAATACTTATTTTCAAGTCCAGGCAACAACCAGTTTCACTGTTCCTAACCTTTTTCCTTTACATACATAAATATCCTCTTTAAAGAAAGTGCACTCCTTAAAACAAGGGCAATCAAAATGTTTTGGCATTGTCAAGATGTAAAAGAGTGTTTCAGCTGAGCACAGTCTGCAGAAAAAACATCATTCACTTTTTAATTTACTATTACAATTACTACTATCTAGGTGTGCAAATGAAAAACTTACATGTTAAACACCAAAATAAGCTGGAATTGCTGCTGGTATATACATGAGAATATCTGTCCCAGCTTGCTTGTTAATTCCTATCGTTTAGTCTCTCATATTAAAGATACAATGAAAACATGTTCATTTTCATGGAGGTCACAATGTCCGGTTATTTCCCTCTGTAAAAGGTAAATAATTGTTATTTTCTGTACCTCGAATTTCAGAAACTCAATTAAAAATACAGAGGTAACAAAATATTTTAATAAAGGTATTTAGAATGGTTATAACAAATCAGGTAACGATTTCTGAGTTCAGAGAACATCCAGGTATTGTCCTTTGAATTAAATATTGACTTTCCTTTAATAAAATTGGTATTTATTTCCCAGGAGACTAATTTCTGTATCTTCCCCCCCCAGTCAGTATCAACTTGTTATTAAACATCAGTTAGTGTTCATCAAAGACACAATGTAATTGCTTGTCTTCCCTTTATGCTAATGTTGCACTGGAAAGCTCGACATTAAAAAGAAAAAAAAAAGCCCTGGAAAATTAAAAAATAGGTAATGCTTCATATAATAAGTAACATATAGCTGTTACTGACTGTTCTTGCCAGTATTGTGTTTCTTCGGACGAACAGACTCGAGCTGACAGACTCGAGTTACCTATGCCAGTTCTGCCACAGCTGGAGGACTGTGAACAAGTCTCCTTCCTGCACTAAGCAGTCCAAAGATTTCTAAATAATCATCCAGTAATTTCTGCCTAAAGATTTTCTCCTTACTGTGTAACCCGGAAACCCAAAAACCTGTGGTTGCATTGGAACACTTCCTTTAGAAAGGTATCTAATACTAACATCAAGACTTTTAGCAAATGATTAATTTACACTTCAACTTGTGCCAGTGCAGGTTTTGAGGATTCTGGCAGTCTCCATCAGCTTCTTTATGGAAACATAACTAGCGGTTGATATCAGGCCAAAGGAAGAATCAACTCCATTTCTCTTTTGTGTCTGTGTTAAAGCTAAAACCAAACAGATAACACGTTACACTTGGTGATGATTAGATAAAAGTATTCTTCAAAGCCACGTAAAATGACCAAAGAACCTTACGCTGTAACAGACTTCTGCAGACAAGAGCAGTTTTGACCAAAATCCACTGCTTTTGTATCTAAAATGCCATAGGAATGTTTCTAGAAAACTAATCTTTTGTGTGTGTGTGTTGGACATAATGCAGCAAAATACATTCATCATCATAAAATCAACCAAAGGGACAAATTCTAGCTCCTATTTAGCAATAAATCTAAACTTGCAACCTGGTAATCTTGTGTTTAAACTACTAAAAGAAAACCAAGCCATTTTTCTACTTTCTATTACCATGTAATAATAAAAATATGATAGGGAAACTGTATTACACAGGTGCGTTTGCCTGAAATGTGTACTTTGTGAAAAAGATCTCTTCCTGACCAAAACCAAGTGGCAAGCTGCAGTGTGCATATGCAGAATGCTCAATAACACATATTTAAAGCAGACTAACACATTATAACAAGTCTGAAGGAATGAGCAGCCGCTTCACAATCTGTACCCTTAAAATTCAAGCCTAATAGCACTGGAAATATAAATTAATCGTTAAGTGCTTCAGAAAGTCTCTTCTTTTTAGCTGTGGTGTGAACAAGAGTATTTAACTGTTTATCCCAATGTACCTTTCTCGTAACTACAATGCAATCATCATCATGGATAGAAAATACTCTTCCCCTCCCCAGATTAGAAAATATGTATGTAAAAAATATTAAAATAGACACTCAGTACAGAATCTTACTATGGTTGGCTTCAAAGGCTGATTTGAATTAAAGTTACTAATTTTTTTTATATTGTTGCTCCACCTACTACAAAATAGTGTGAAGACAGTTATTATTAAGACATTAATTGCCCCAAATACCTTCCTCCAAACTTTTTTTCTTCATAAGTTATCTTAGTTTTAAATCTACTATTAGAATAGTAGTGCAAGAAAAATCAATGAAAAATTCTTCAGATAAATGGTTTAGTTCCTTTTAGGATAAAGATGCAGAGGAATATCGATGAAAAATATGCTAGTTATGATGCCTTCTTTGTTAATACTCCTTTATGACCCAAATCAATTCTTCACTCCACGTTCCTGTATTTGGTAAACAAATTGTACAGTACTCTCAGTGTAGACTTCAAGTCACAATTTACAATATCTAGAAAAAAGACAAGGGAAAACCAATTAGTAACTTCATTAGCTCAAAACATTTTTCAGAAAAAGTACCTACTCTGTACTCCCTTTCTTTGCTCAGATCCATATCCATGAGCATTAAAATCACAAGGATACTAAGAAAGAGTAGAAATATAAACTGGCAACTCAAAAGTTGGTATTTCAATCACTTTTAGTTAGGAAATGGCCAAGGGTGCTGATGTAGAAATGCAACCAAGGTTTAGATGCCCACGAGACAAACTGTGCCTAGGATTATGAGTGGATCTTCAGTGAGCTGTGAATGAAAAGCAATGGTTCTGAAAATGTCATCAGGCAGGCATCAGTGGAACTCTTCTCTTATGTAAGAACTGCAGGACTTGGCCAATTCTGGGCTGCAATATTTTTTATTAGGCCTAACTTCAGCAAGACAGCTAGAGGCAAGTTTACATTTTCTGAAGGACCCAAAGCAGCTAGGTATACAAGTGCCCCTTGAAGACACTTCTGAAATTCTGTGTGTCAGCTGAGGTACGTGGCTAAATCAGTCCTTAGAAACTCAGTGTCTAAGGGAAAGGATTATATGAAACAAAAACCTAACAAATACTTTCTGTTTTGAAGAGAAGGTCTAGAGAAAGTCAATATTATTCCACAAGAAATCTATAAACCAAACTGACAAGTACTACTGCAGCAGTCCATGCTAGTGCTTCAAGGAATATTCAGTCTCAGACAGGGACTTAGAATTGCCCTCAGAAAGAGCAGAATGGAATTGTCTTATCTTTGTGTTGACTGTACAGGAACTCAATGTCCTAACCTTGGTTCTTGGAATTGCCCATGAAGGTGTAAAGCAGACAGTGTGCATACTCCCGTTATCTTCCAAACCTCCAAGTAAGCTGGTAAATTGTGTATATAATCATCAGAGTTTTGCCATTATATTTACGTACCCTGATGTTTCTCACAGATCGTGAAGCGGTTACACTTTGAAGAATGAATCCAATCAAACCTATTCTTGGTGTCCCAGAGAACGCAGCCTTTGAAGAGCTAAAGATATTAGCTACATGGCAAACTCGCATCCATGGACAAAGGGTGAAAACACTCAAACCTAGATTTTATGCTGAGCCTATGCATGGTCGTGAAACCATGGCCACATGATTTTGTGGCTCCGAATGTATCGGATCAAAAACGTTTGGTATAAAATGAAGAGAAAATGCTAAAGGCTATAGAAAGGGCACATTGCTCCCACAACGTCATGTTATATCCTGCAATACTGTTTGAATATAACTCAGGCAGTTTCCTCTTTCAGGCCAGCACCTTCCTTTTCTAATACAGAAACTCCAAATGGAGAGAGAGATAACTCTTTCAATCAAGTCTTTGCAAAGTTACCAGAAGACTCCACCCTCACAACAGAATTCCACAGAAAGGTCCAAACTAAAAAGCACGCTTCCAGAGACAGCGGAGTTATTTCCATTGCTACATGTGTTTGACCAACATGTATAACATTTTACTGGTTGCAATTTTTCAAAGAGAGAAACTTGAGTTTGGCTTTGATGTACACATTTCAAGAAGTAATCTGAAAAAGCTCAAACTGCAAATGAATTCATTATAGACTCAGTAGATTAAGGCTCCGGCCATTTTTAAAGTAAAAGGTCACAGAAAGCTTTTTAATACCTTTTCAGTTATATTGCAAATAACCCAAATAAACTGTTGACCCCATAAAAATCATTGGTTTTCATACTCATTTATTTAACCGCATTCTTTTTTCCACTAAATATGTTTTTCATATTCTAAAGCACTTTTCAGCATATTTTTTCCTCAAGAACCTCAAAGAAACAGTGTAGGAATTTAAAGAGTATTTAGTATACACATTTAGGGTAAGATCCTTTTCAATACTCTTTTGCTCGCTGGAAATTTTAAGTACGGGCATTGTGCCCAATGTAACAACACATAAAACAGATGTGTTTTTCCATTCACATTGGGCAGGAAGTTTCATATTAAGCATTTCAATAATTGCACAAGAAATGTCTTATATATGCTGAAATATCCTTATGGCTTGATTTATACTGGAAAAATTAGCTGTCCCCTAGAGCAATAAATACCTGAAAAATTAAATGCCATAAGAATTTTAAACCTCTATGGGGAGTAAGGGATCACAGATACTCTCTGTTTTACTTGGATCCCTAGATTTCACTATTTCCCCCTTCTTTCTTTGACCATTTCAAACATAAAAAGTTTGTGATACAGTCACCACTGGATAGAGTTTGAGAAATCAAAAAAAAAAAAAGAAAAAATAGGCTGAGTAGGTCCAGATGAAATGCATAGGCACCGTAGGCTCAATCCTGAGACCTATTTTGTGTGTGTGTGTGCATATGTCTGCTGCTGTTATGATCTGGAAGTTGGGAGGGATGGAGAAGGAGAATGGAGCAGAACTTGATTCAGTGATGTGTGCCTGAATCTCTAGAGAGCCCTTACTATATTATAAGTAAAACTCTGAGCATTAGCTTGTATCAAATCCTCGGGGAATGACAATCCAATATTATGGCAGGAAAAGACTGTGTGCACCACAGAACGGGAATCTGCAGTGGGTCTTGAAAACACATCTGTATTGATTATTGTAGTTATCAGCAGAAGCCCAGCTACCACCCCTGTTGGGAAGAGTGGAGCAGAAGCTGCATGTCCAGCTCCTGCACAGTAAGAAGCGATAACTTCGCACTGGAGGAATCACAAAAGTACCCTCTAACATGGTGCATCAAGGGTTCTATAACCACTCCGAAAAGCTGGATTTAAACTCTGCATTTCTATGAGCACAGAGGAGCAGAGTCCTGGTCCTGCTAAAGTCACCACCCCATACCTATTCACAACTGTATTTTTTTCCTTTTGGTGAATATCTGAATATTACTGCATATGTCTGGTCACAGAAACCTTACCCTGGCCCTTCAAGAAAGAAGCCTTACAACATTTGGCATCTATCAGCCATGTAAAACACAGAGTTACCTGAGCTCTTCAATATGTATCCTGCCTTTTGCTCTTGGATTAACATTTTAACCTTCATTTAGCTACACAATAATCCCATGAGATAAAGTCTGGATGCAACACAAATTTTTAAGGAGATATAAAAAAAATAAAAATAGAGTAGATACCTTCTGGTCTTGGCTTTGGTTTTTCCAATCCACCATCCTGCATTAGCTCAAATGCAAAGGATACATTGAGGACCTAGTAATATAATAAAGGTAGTCATTGTTGTGAACTATATACAGTATAGTATAAATGGTCAAAACAAGATGTATTTAAAGCTGCAGACCCAGATGCTCAGAGGGAAAAAATAGTCAGGGCTCCATATAGCAACTGCAGATGTGGTCCATGGAATCTAGACAACCCATTGTTTTGGTTTTTTCTGGGTGGTGATGATGGTTTCAGAAAGACAAAAGTAATCAAAAAATAACATGTGAATTAGTAATACCCACAGAAAAATTACTTACAAATAAGAACAGCCCACCTCCCACAAGTTTAAAAATTGGAACATGATGGCCCATGAAGAGCTCTGTGAATAGAAGCTGAATTACCTGGATAGCTACAGAGACTGAGGTAATGGTTGGTCTTAAAATGCTGCATTGTACATATATGTCTTTATGCTTCCAAAACCATGAAACCTTTCAAATGGTAAACTCTTGGATTTTGGACATAAAAAAAAAAAATATCAGTTCTGTCATCAAATCATGTGTATAATTCTTTATACACGTAATGAACAGTAAGCCTGATTCAATGACAGCATCACACAATGGCTGCCACAATCAGCTAATACTTGCTAACCACCCTATCATTAATATAATTTTCACTTTTATTCCAGATAAGCATTAATACAGAGATCTTAAAAATGCTTGGAAATGGTTACCAGTGCAGTCCTCTCTTGATTTCAGCTATTTACATCAAACTTACGTGGAAAAGTTCGTGCCATCCTGGTACTAATAGACATGTTTATATGTTTATGTGGTTTTAACAGAAAAATGAAATCTAATTACCTTTTGTTCAAAACTATCAGGAGTCAAGAAAAAGCTGTGCAGAGGAACAAAATAGCCTTCTAGAAGACCCATTAGCAGGACTAAGTACACACCATCTGCAAACTGTAAAAAAGACATTTCTCAGTGCACTTTCCGAAGAGTAATTCATTGCTTTGCTTAATGAACAAGATATATATTGTCTAATGAAGAACTGTCAGCAAGCTACAAATATTTTAAATTGCAAGTATAAGATCTCATCTCACTTCTTTGATTCCTTTTATTTAGTGAGTATGTTCTGTTATGCCTTCTCCAAAACTGAACTAATGCTAAAATATATATGCAGAATAAAGTTCCTGGCAAGGGAGGTGGTCAGTGGCTTTGATCTACGCCTTTGCTTTCTCTTCTGCTGGCTGTGGGGGCTGGGAACAGCCACCTTTCACGCTCTCAAAGGGCAGGCATCCCCTGAGCAGAGAAAAGCAGAATCTAGGTGCAATCTCATGACTGCACTGAAATTCAGTACACTGGAGGAAATAAAGGAACAAAGAGTCGTCTTCATTCATGTTCTGCAAGTCTGTGTCAATTTAATTTTAAGTGTATGTAATCACAGATGGAAGATATCTAATTGATGTATGTTCATTTCCAGCTAAAATAATAGCAACATCCATAAGATTTTGTTAAAGGCCTCTCACTCTTACCCCTGTGGCATCAGGTCTGTCAGTGCACTGAGATATTCTCACAATCAAACTGAGTTACCTGAAGCAACACATCACCTCCCTGAGATAGGTAATTTTCTTTCAGCTGACCGAAATACAGTCTCTCATCCTAGGGAATACTGGTTTGGATAAATGCCTAAGGAGTTTCGAGGTATATTTGAGGAATATATTTTTTTGCAAAAGTAAACAATGCAATAAGCAAGCACAGGGAACAGCTTTCTAAAAACCCTTACACATATTTCCACCTCAATCTCTCTATCAGGTTGATAGCTATTTAAATAAACCAGAGATTCTTAATAACATGAATCAAGATATAAACTAAAGCCCGTCCTGAAGACACCTGGGGTTTTTTGGTAGTGCGGATCATCCTTCCTGCCTGTCCTTGTAATTTTCTTATGATAACTGCTGCAATTGTTCACATGGGGAGGTATTAATACAGTAGGATTACGCTTTCCTTTTAGCTTCTTTTCAGCCAATTTAGCAGCTGAGAACAAGAAAGAAGACCATGTACCACGCTATTTCTGTGGTGCAATCAAGCCTGCAGCCCAACTGTACAGCTGCCTATACACTTGACTAGCTTTACTCTCAAGAGCATATCTCCCTGAATAGAGTCATTGTAATCCCAGGCGATTGCGTGCTTCTGTAAAGGTAGGCAGGAAACAACTGTTCAGCTTGACACTGGATCAAACCAAGCGGACAGAGTTCTTTCCTGACCAAAACAAGCACAGGTTTTGCTTACAGCACTTGGCAGCACCCAAGAGGTAGCATCTGTTAATTAATTTTTATGCTAATAGCAGCACAAAGCTGTTTTAGAGAAATTCAGCTGCTCTCATGATTTCTTTGCTTAATCGGTGGGGGTCTTCTTCATACAAATATACTTAGAATTTAAGGGTCTCCCACTGAAATAACATCTTAGAGCTCAATCAATAATAATTCAGTGAAATTTCTAAATAAAGTTGGGGGCATAGTGCATAACCTGGTGCAACCATCTCTCCCCTTTAAGAAAGGCTGTAAAATCCTACCTGGGTCTCCAGTTCAGTGACCTCCAAATTCAATTTATTCAGATGCTTGTTCACAAAAGTGATGAGAGTCTGAAATATGAAAACAATGTAGTGAAGGCCTATTCAGAAGGGCAGCAGCTCAACGCATGCAGTATGAACTCCCCTCAGAAGAGCCTCTGCCTGAGTGAAGAGACTGCAACACAATTTTTAAGTTTTAAAACGGAGATGTGACATTACAAAAAAAAAAATTTCCTCAAGAATGAACAGAAATAAAATTAATGTGATGTATATAAATAAAAATACACTGTCAAAACATACTAATTCTTTAAAAATAAAACCCCTTGTAGCAGGCTATAGAGAAGTGGGTAATTGGACTCCACTCAAACCTGGCAGCAGCCAAAATCCTCTAGGTCAGACCCCTGGCAGTTGTAAACTGGATACCTCTCTGGCATCAGTACACACAATCTACCAGTTGGGTTCTGCTCAACACACACTTTGTGAGAACTTCTGTTTGATGGAAACTTTGATAACTACATGTTGTTCTGTGTTCCAAAGTTAGGTTCATGCTGCTAAATATTAATGAAAAGTAACATTATAATCATGAATTTGTGTATTTAAGTATAAAGCTTAATTGCATTTAATGTATGTAAACTATGCCAATTATATATTATATACATGCACGCTCACTACATAGGTACAATCAGATACACACAAGCACGCACATGCACACATTATGTATTTTAAAAATAAAAACTTCCCAACCTTTTTCACTACATTGAGTTTGTCTGGAGCATGGTCAAATAAAGTGTCAAATGCATCTCTTTCTGAAAAAGATTCAGAGATGTTAATACACTGAGCAGCAGCTGTCCAAATGCAGAATAAATACTTACTGGGGCACATACTTGTCTGAGACAACACAGTCAGCAAAAGGTTTCAGTGTAGTACCACGTGTTTTGCATACTGCTCTCTTGTTAGAAGCTGCTAGTAGCTTATTCTCTGTTATTTATAGAAAGCATCATTTTCAAGTAGGATTTGTATTACATAACAACTCTGTTTCTCAAAAATGAACAAAGAATGGTATCTTTACGTATAAAACCTTAAACAGCCAGACACAGGGAGCTAAGTAACCAAATCATTTTGTGCAGAACAACAGGAGTTTACATCTGGAATCACTACATCTATAGAGGAGGATTTTCCCCATGGGCCACTGACTGCATTGTGGTGTGCTGTATTATTAACCACCTCAAGCAAGCTCATGATTACATAGCTGCAATATAATACTTTGTATAGATGTTTCTGGGCCATTCTGATATGCAATTTAAGACATTATCAGGAGGACAGGCAACCTAGGGTAGCATGACTGGAGTGCTACTGTAGTCACCTTCTGAAGAAAACAGAAAAAACTAAATATAAGGAGGCACCAGAGACTTTTCTGAGCAATTTTCACCCTGACAATCATTTGAATGATAGCAAATGACTCCACAAAAAGCTACATTCATGCTCCTCAATAACAAAATGCTGGAGAAGATCCAAAGGTGTTTGTAGAAGGCAGACTTTCTACAGAGCAAGCCTGCTCAGGGATGTCACTGGGAAATGACGTCGTGCATGAAGCCTTTTGTATCAGCTGTAAGACAGCCATTGAAATAAGACAAGGAGCAATCGCTAAATTCTTGGTGGGACTCCACCTAAGCTCCTCAGATGAGTGTTTTCTGCTGGCCAGGCATTTGGCCAGTCTATGTACTAGCAGTAAGACATACAAGGCACAGGAACTTGCATGGTATTTAGCCTGCTGAACAATGACTCCAAGTCATAAAGTGTAAGTAGGTAATGTATGCAAGAATGCCAACAAGTTCACCACCTGGTTTATAAGACAAGACATCACTTCATATTACGCTGGGAACTTATGACCATTAGTAGTATTACAGTAATGTTCTGGAGGCTAAAACACAAAGCACCTTCAAATTACCACGTACTAAAAAGCAATGAAATGTGTTTTAAAGATGGTCAGACTGATTTTAATGCTTTTTCCCTTTTGTTAACTGCCACAATAGCCTGTGGTGCATATATTTATGTATTTGCCAGTTGAACTTGAAATCATCTACTTCCTTGCAGTTGGATCAAAGTGCCCACCCACTGCAGAACTAATGTATACTTTGGCTGCCTCAAGAAAAAGATAATAATCAAATGAACTTACCATGCCTTCCTGATAATGCCCTATGAAAAAAAAAAAAAAAAACAAACAACAAAAAGAACAAAACACAGTTAGGTATAATTCACTTGCAGACACTGTGCTGCAAAAGAAAAGAGCATGCATGGCCATCTTCAGCTTGGTGAAAACCGGAGTAGATCCATGGAATTAAGAAAACCTTCATCAAGTTACTCCAGCTGAGAATCTGGCTTAGTCTGGAGTCCATCAGTATAGTATCTCCTGGCTGCACTGAAGTCTCATGGCAGGACAGATCTCCGGTTTTCTACTATTGAACCAAATCAACACACCTTGCCTGAGTGAAGAAGGCTTTTTCATACTGATTTTGTGAAAACTTTTCCCTTTGTTTTAAAGATGCTTTTACCACACCAACTACAATACAATTTCAGCCAAAACAATGCTTGGACTGGGTTCTTAATGACTGCAGCATTTAGCTCCAGCTAATCCCTCATATAACTATTACATGTAAACTAATCCAAAGATTAATAAATCAATAGTCCAGCTTCTTTCCATTCTATTAGAAACCAGGGTATTCTACTATTGTTTTCTGTTGGTTTGGAATAACTTTTCTGTTATAAACTGTTTGGTGAGATGACACATGCAAGGCTTACTACTGTCATTTTTACATCCCCAAACATCTAAAATTAGTCCTATCACATTCCTTTTTGAAAGCATCTAGTTCTCTATCAAATAAATACCAACATAAAAGAACGAGGCATATCTTTCTTGTTTGTTTGAAGGACTTTTGAATAAAACAATAAGAAATATAATAAAGAAATAAATCAGTAGCAGATAAATACAGAGATTTGGTATATCTTCACTCTGTCTTCTCTTTTATCCTAGTCCCCTGCTTTTAGATCCCCAGCTCTGTATTTCCTCACCCTTTTATAATTTTAGATGCATGTTTGCAGCTCTTGAAAAGGCTAAAACAGAGTCACTGGCTGATGCATCATCTTCCCTGGAACCCCAATACCAAAATCTAAATATCAGCAAATGTTTGAATTTCTGAAACGCATCTGTGTTCAATTACTGAACTGCTGGCAAAAGTGGTGTTGACATACTCAGTGTTACCAGTTATTTCCTCTTGGATTTGTCGAGACTGGAGGATTCCTTCGCGTTTCTGGAAAAAATAAAAAATGACATTTTTCTCAGTAAAGTTTAATGCTTAGGGTACAGAGTAAAAATTTGTGATCCACAAACATAATTAGATAAGAAACCTGCAAAATAAAAACTTTTTTAGCATGAACTCACAGTAATACACTCTTTCAACCTTGCAAGTATTTCAGAAAACTCCTTTGTACATTAAAAGGAAACTTGAAACTCCACCTGTAGAAGGAAGTATTTCTTTTCCTTTCTCCATTGTTCTTAATTCACTTTTCTTTTAAAGGCCTCAATTCAGCAAGACATTTGAAACACCCAAACATGTATGTATGTATTTTAGTAGAGGTATGGCTAGGTGAGTTGAATTAAACCTTGTATTTCAAAGAAGAGCTTGGCAGATGGTGCCCATCCTTCTCTTTTGCAAAAATCTTGCCCCCAGGCTATCTGTTCTTTCTGTCCTGTTCATACTCTCTTTTTTTTTTGCCTCAGTTTTTCCCTCTTCTGACTTCTCTCCACACAGAGAGCTCTATTTGATTGTGATGGAAACTCAAAATGGGGGATAATCCATTCCCAGCCTGCTCCAGACCCTAGTCATCTTGGTGTTAATATAGGCATCGACCTCAATGTTCTTCAGATGCGAGAAGCCCTTTGCACATGGTGGTGAGTGGCCTGTGGCTAGAAGCTGTACACAAAATGGCAGAAGCCAACTCAAATGGTTGCTATTTGAGTCAGTTGGAAAATGAAGGAGTTTAAACATTTGACATTGTTTCCAGTATGCTGATCACAGTCATCTGGTGGTGGTGTAAATACCGCACATATGTTTTGCCTCTCTTTGTGTTAATTCTGTTCACTGGAATTAGTAAAATTTTGCAGTACAAAAAGAAAAGTCAGGCAAATGCTGACGACTGCATGTAAAGTCTAGACGTTAGGCAATTATTTATGATTCTTCACTCCCTGTCATAAAAGGAAATGAGAAAAATAATTTTATGCTGGTCCTAGACTTGCCTTGTATGTGGAAAAGAGAAAAGGAGAATAACCTTTTGGAAAGTCCTTTATGGCATGTGGACTGGGACTGCTGTTCTTCCCTGCCCTAGAGAAGAGAGCTTACCCCTACCCAAGGCAGTCCCCGGTGTATCATGTGCAGAGGATTTGGCCAGGCTTGAGTCTATTACTTCTATACTGCATAACTAAAACATATGAGGATCAAACTTACTTTCTGCAAGAAAGCCATAATACGTGGCACCCTCTGGGTCACTTCAGACTGGCACTTGGAGTAACCTGAACTGTCCTTTTAGCTACAGGACAGTTTCAGGGGGGTTTTGTTATATTTTTAAAAATTCTTTTACTAAATCTCTTGCACGCCATTAAAACTGCATTCAGGGAGGACATCTGAACGTTAAAAAGACAGAGTGGAGTCCACTGTGCTACATACTGAAAGAGGGGGCACAGAAAGCTGCAGGGACATCTTCTGTCATACACCTCGAAAACCTGAAGAAAAACATCATTTAGGGCTATCTTCATTTCCAGCTTGTGCAGACAGCAACAGTGCAAGTCTTGCACTTGAAGTAACAACCCAGTTCATCCTAGGTCAAGTTAGAATTCTACTCTGTTTAGCATTTTTGTTTATTTTCCCCTTTGCTGTAGGGTGAAAGGAAACTTATTTTCTCCCAATGGTGACTAACATGCCAATGATACCTTCTGGAGCAAAAGCCCCATTACTCTTGTCCGCTAGATGAGTTGAGCACCACAGCAATGGGAACTGTACTTCTCAGTGCCCAGTCCGGTGATACGGGAGAAGAAAAAGGCTTCTACCTGTACTCTACCTTCCCTCTGAAAATGTGCAAAAATAGCCTAAAACATTTTCCAGTACCAATATAAAATATAGTTCCCTTGTTGATACACTGCAATTAATATAAATAAGAATTCTGCACCCTAATCCTACTGTTGGGGAAAAAAAAAATAAGACAAGACATCAATCCCTAGTTTTGCACCTGGCATCTGATCACTGATATTAATGGAATTTCCACACTGCCCAAATGTAACATGCATCTGCTGGACACTTACTTGACCAGCACATGTCAAGACAGACTTTCCAATGCTCTTGATTTGGAAGAGGCTGGTGAAAAAGTCTCAATGGCAACAATCAGAATGGACCTTCGAAACACTAGTCTAAGCACCTTCTCTGTGAAGGCTGCTTCCCATAAATCTTTCGTGCTTTAAACACTCTCCACCTCAAAATTGACCCTAACACTGATGACACCTGTTGTGAAGTTTGTTTTATACTAGAGAATGACACAATATTCCTAAAAATACAAAGAAGTGTTACTGAATACTCAAAAGAGTGTCCAGCGATGTTCCTTAAAGACAACAGTGGCTATAACTGAAATAACAAATGATAAAAATGAACATCTACTATTGGAAAGTCACAAGAAACAAAGCATGAATTAATATTCCCCCTGAAAGAGAAAAGCTGGGTGCACATTCCAGAGACCACAGAAGACTACTTGGACAGGCTTGGCATCTTCTTCCCTCACAGCTGCAAGACTCCACTAAAGGCCATGGAAGAGCTTCCTAATCACTGATCATTTTAAAGATCACACAAAGCCTCAGTTTTGTTAAAAGTTAGTCATTCTATTACTACGGAAGGAAAAGAAAATAATATAACAAAACAGCTACAAAAGGTCCAACTATCACATTTTTCCCCAAATCAGCTTATAACCCAGATTTCATATTAGTCTCATTGCTAGCAGCTTTTGTACAAAACAGCCAAAGGAAACAAGTTTTCATAAGAACTGTGCTGATTACCTGTTGGGCATTAGCACATTTTTTGTTTCAGAAATATCTTTGTTTCTATTTCAATAAACTACGCGCAGCCAACAGGGTACCCCTCACATTTTATGTGTTTCTAACCCAACAAAACCATGAATGGATGAAGATGGTCTTCCTTAAAGACTTCAGAAAAGCCCTTTGCTCCTTTATTTCCTCTCTCTTTACTATTCCCTTTATCAAACTGTACAGATTAGAATTTAAAACCACCTACCACATGGTCTGTTAAACTTCCCTAGGCATGACCTTACTTTACAGAATGTATGAGGGTTTAGAACATGAGGCGTGCAAGTCTGAATATTAAATTAGGCTCTAGGATCTGCTGACTGTTGATTAAAACAAAGGGTACATGATGAATTATATAGAACCAATCCCACAGGACATGAAAGACAGATTTAAAAAATAAAAACCCAACCCCCCATAAAATAAAAATGAAAAAAAAAAATCTCATTAAGAATACTGGCCCCCACCCTCTGTTAATGAGAATCAGCATAGCCTTGGAGTTCCTCTGACTGACTTTCACCAAGGACTGCGTCTGGAGGATGAAATCTACTACAACGTTACTTGGATTTTATTCTGGTGCAACTGCTTTCTCTGCAATTCACTGGCGCCTGAGCTACAGCTGTGTAGCTAAGAGGCAGAGCAGTGAGCCAGATTCTCCCACTACTTATTGTTTTTAAATTGGTTTATCTGTACAGATTTCAGTGGATTTGCTGTTGAACTACATTAGCCTATTAAACGAGAGGACAATTACATCCATTGATTTCAACAGGAATTTTGTCTGGACATATGGAGTGACAGCAGAATGCAAGATCTGGTTCTCTATTTTAGGACTGTGTTCTTTTTCTGGTTTAGTTTCTCATCCTAAAGATGCTCTGACTGCTGCACTCCTGTTTCCTTAAGCTTCGAGATAAACCAGTGTCATTAATATATTTATAATAGCCAAAGGAAAGTTCTTGAAAATTATGTTCCTCTGAACCCTTCGATAGGTAAGTGCAGATTTCCTGGGGCTCTCTTTCATCATCTGTAGAGAAGGCCATGAAGCAGAACCTGAGAGTCAATGAGTCACTATCAGGCATCAGTTATATATCTACCAGAGACTCCCCTTCAGATTCCTCCACAAATTACAAAACTCATCTGATTCAAACGCTGGAAAAAGGAGATCTGTCCCACAGATTTTCAGTCACACAAAACTGAAGCAATAGCTCGTTGCACCAGGTACTTCATGGTAACACCAGTTAAAACACATAAATACAGACAGTTAACAGTGTGAAAAGTAAAGGCAAAGTTAATTGGAGAGAAAGAAAAAAAGATTAAATGGGAAGAGACCAAATAAGATAGAGCAAGCACAAATCCAACTGAAAGAAAAATCATCAACAGAATCACATGAAGAGTTGGGATGGATTAGGCTCTAACAAGGAGACTGACTGACACAAAAGATTTAGTTGACGGGGTATTTTTTGCATGCTTATGAGAAAGCCAACACTGTAATCAGACTAAATTAGCATGCACAAGGCTGAAAAAGAATATTTAGTCACCTACCACGAATCTGAATGTAATAAACAGTGACAATTCATCATTCAGTGCCAAGAATGATTTGAATCTCTACACAAGCGAGAAGACCATCAAAAATGGGAAAAATAATAATTCTAGAGATCATATCGGGTGATAAACACATTCCAACAATAATAATGCTTCATATATTTTTAATGTCAGAGTCTGGTCACTTCACAATCAAAATAAGATATTCTGAGCCACAGCTCAATCTGGGAAAGCACTTCTGCCTCTTTCTGGTTGAAGCATTGTCAGCAGGGAAGATGCACGTGTGTTTCTTGTAAGGCAGAGAGGGGCAGGCATGCCTGCCCAAACAGAAACTCTAGATGTATTTTTCAAGAAACCCCTCAGCCAATTTCATAACACTGCCGAGAGCCGTTTGACACCGCTCTTACCTGCACGACCACCACCTGAATGGACACATGATCTGGGAGTCTGATGGGTGCTCGGAAATACTGTGATAATGCAACCAGAAGGTGAAGTATTGCTACGAGACTTTTAGCATGAACAGCTGAAATAGATATTAAAAGCACAAGTTACAAACTGCAGAGTAACCAGGGCACATATTCTGACGTTTTAGGAGGCAGGGATTACGAGACCTTTTTCCTCCCGCCACCTGGAGCCAGAAGGCACTCTTAAGGGCCCTTGCCTTTACTGGCCTCCTCCTGCCCAACAGGTCAGCGATGTTTGTCAGCACCAAAGCATTACTTTTTGCAACATGTCTGGATGCCGTGGGCTTATGTAGATGAAAATCTAAAGATAATCCAAAAGCCAGATTTCATATACAGCAGTGCTGTCTGCATTCTCCTTTCCTCTATTCCCTTTATTTCAGTAAGGATTTATGGACTATCAGAAAGATATTTTTGTACTCATAACATGCACTTATTCATTTTTAAGTGTCACAGTGTCTGCAGGATGATAAACGAGCCTATTTTGGCAGAAGCCTTCAGCAGTAACTTACTAAACTCAATGACTCAAACATTCCTCATGAAGTTGTTACAGTTCTTGTTATTGAACCTTTTTCACAGCAGGTTTCATATGGGTAGTTAACACTAACATGACTTACAAGATATCAAAAGCCATACTGTAGGAAATCCCTAATCAAATATCAAACCATTGGCATGAAAATGAATAATTTCCAATTATTGTTGCCTTTCTTATTCTTCTATTTTGTTTTAGCATTTAGAGTCTTCCCAGAGTAAATATTCCTAAATGACCTTTGATAGCTACAGTAATGTTTTCTGTACTTGAATTAACCAGTAACTACTACCTTACTTCATTGGTAAAGCAGGATCAGATTCACTAAAATGTCCTTCACTACTTTCCAACGCAAGTCTCAGCTATGCCACGGAGATACCCATTCATATAAAATGTGGTATCTCTGTCAAATTTTGCAGGGGTGCCAGTGGTCACGGATGAGGTGCTTTAGCCAAGCACTAGAAAGATGTCTGTCTGCCTAGCACTGCTGTGTGCTACAGCTGGCTCCAGCTGCTGCTGTCTATCTCTACTTTAGCTCTAAAACACATGTAAAACATTAAATTAAAACTAGAAGTTAAATTGTCAGGCCGCTCCAAACACCCTGCCTCCAGCTGCTTAACAGAGAATGGAAAAAACCTGGGGAGATACTGAAGAGAGATGGGGACAGAAAACTCAGTGCAACCACACCAAGGGGAAGGTCAGAGATGCCTAATGTGCACTCTTCCTCCCTTGAGCTATTTCTCTCCCTCTCACTAATTTATTGTGAATGGAACAGGATACAAAACAGCTCAGCTCAAGACAGGTAGAGGAGACAGGGAAACTGCTATATACTGGTCAAGGTATTCACCGGCGTGAAATGATTCTGGATACCAAACTTAAAACGGATTAGGAGGCCTAATTTTCTAAAACTGATGATAATCTGCTTTCAGCAGCACATATACACTAAAATGTCTTGTGTAGGGCCACTAAGGGTATTTCTATTAGATATTACTATGTTCATTTTAATACAATAAAACAGGAAGAGTGGAGTCCTGATCTCGATGAGAATTTTGTATTCAAAATCAATAGGTCAGTTTTAGGCTTAAATGATCAGAAATATTATTCATATTTATGTTGAAAATTTTACACAGAGAGTCCTAAGACCTGACTCTCCTTCTGTCTATCTCCTACATTTATGCAGGTACTCAGCTGTTCAAACAAACCAATTTAGTAACAGAAAATTAAAGCTTGCATGGATATGAACTTAAGAGCAGAAATACCGTACTTTGACAGACTCTGAAAAGACAGTTTATTTAAGTTGGAGGTTGAACGCCAGTAACGAGGGTAGAGCGTACCACATCTGGAAGTGCCCTGCAGAGCAGCTCCTACCATAAATAGAGCCTTCCCTTATCGTCGGATATTTCAGAATTCCAGATAGTAGCTATAAACTCTGGGCTGTCAACAAATGAGAACTGCACAGAAAACACACAACTTACAGTCAACGTTCCATTTAATGCTTCTTGGGGGGAGTTTAAGGGTTTCATTGATCTTTTCAAGCACTGTCTGTAGCTTCTGTTTCTGAGCAATTTCAGACTGAGTAACTTCAGCAACATTCAGCTTCTCGCTTTCAAGTTTCTCTGAAGTGATAATACAAGAAAACCCAAGAAAAACCATTGTCAACTCCATGAAGAACACAAAGACGTTCCACGCACCCAGACGTACATTCAGGAGATATTAAGACTTCCTAGTTTTAAAATTATCTGGTTTTCCTTCCAGAACCACTTTCCCCCCACACTTCTGAGCTCCTAAAGATACAGTTCACATTTTCGCTTTATTTACCCAGTGCCAAGGGAAAGGCCAAGTATTAATGAAAGCCACATTACTGGCTCACAAATATTTGCTGCACCTCCCTTTAGGGAGCCCCAGACTCGGCAGTAAGGCCCATTACCTCTGCTGGTACTGGATAAAGGGTATTCTGTATGCAAGTGTGTTGTACAGCAGGCCATCAAACCTAGGAAACGGATGCTAACTTTAAGAAGATTTGTTTCCCCAATCTCAGCCTCATGGCTTCTCCCTCAGAGTCAGGAGATTTTAAAATTTTACTCGGCCCATTTGATGATAAAAGTTACATGACACTTTATTCATAGAGGTGGCAGATGCACCCAAAAAAATGCAAACAAGTATTTCTGAAGGTATGAAAGCAACTAAAACCTTGAGCAATTTCTTTCTATGAAACTATAACAGAATTTGCAGTAGCAAAATTTGCAGTAGATTTTAAAATCCTTTCTGAATTGGTTTGTTAATAATTAGTACAGATTGCTAGGTGTATTACACACACGGCTTATGTTTACCATTAAATAGTAAGCAAAGAACATTTAGCAGTAAAATCTCCCTGATAACAACACCAGAAACAAAATGCTTGGTCACCTATCAATTTACTTCTATGAAAGAATATCTTATTAAGAGATAATGGAAAGTATCTCATTAAGAGATAATTAAGAGATACAGGTTTCTTGTGCCTCCACAGAAATCAGTCTGTGCACAGTCTCACAGCAAGACCAAAGTCTTTAGTTAGCAGAGACCTGATCCATAAGGAACTAAGAGTAATGGAAAAGATTTCACTGAAATCAGTAAGTGCTGGATCAGTATACACACACGTAGAGTCAGGCCCTATCTGATATGCATTTCTGGGGGCTGGGTGAAGCCACTGGAGGTCTGCCCATGAGAATCGAATTGCTCAGTCTGGGGCACATCCAGTCCATCACAATATATTAAATAGCTTAACCATTCATAGAAGGGAAGAGTCTGTGTAGTCTTTATTAGAAGTGCTCACATGATGTTTCAAGATTCATTTAAGATACTGAAAAGAAATTTACTGGAGACTTTATGAGCTGTAATAACTAAGAAAATGGCTTCCAAGCCAACAGTTAAAAAAGCACATGCCAGCTCTGCATTAGCAGTTGCTTTTCTCTATCTGCTTCTCAGCTGAAGCTCAGTTTGCAGTCCACCGGGTACCATTTACCTCAGTAACATTAAAAGCCAGACATCAAATCAGAAAGCAAGTCCAACTTTCCAGAGGAACTTCGCGTTGTGAATAAACTGCAGTATGGAACCAGCAGAGATTAAAAACATCCACCATTGTACTGAAAATACCCTTGCCTTCAAACTTACTTTCCACTTGTAACACGGTTAAGTTTGTACAGCACATATGCAGATAATAAATTTAATTGGAGTGTATACTGCTGCCAAGTCAAGAACCCTCCCTCTCTAGCACCCCAGGTAGGCTTTATGCTGTTCTCATCAACTGCACAGCACCACACATCGCACTGTAGCTATAAGGATTGTGCATACAGCCTATTGCTCAAGGGTTTCATAATACAATGCTATTTTTATATCACTTTGTGGCATAAATGTAAGATGATACCAAAGCTTCTAAGTAGGAACAAGTGATCTACTTACTGACAAAGTGCCCCAACAGCATGCGCATATATTTTTTTCTTACCAAATAATTTCTGCAGTACTTGTCCATCATACAGGTCTTCAGCCAAGTCTTTCACAATAATCCTCTCTCCTACCAACACATCATTAATCCAGTCAATTAATACCTATATGGGAAACACAAATTTGGCAGTATTATGCACTATTCATTTGCAATTTAAAACACATGTCATTTTGTACAATGACGAAACTATTTAGCAGAAAGAATACCAAAGCTGCAATGGCTCAAAGTACAATCAGTCCGAAAGACCATCAGAAGAAAATAGGAAGGATTCTTTTAAGGTGGCTGTGTCAATGCACCACAAGGTCTAGACAAATCCTGGATCGATGCCATGCTTTCTGGAGTGAAATCTGCCAGTAGTACTTTAACGTTTGCTCTAAAGCAAAAGGTCTTGAAATCGGTTATGATGAAACTTTCTGCTGAAGTTCTAACCCCAAGAATCACAAAGACTATGAGGGAAGTCAGTGTGATCTTAGATTGGGGGTGGGATGGGACTAAGAATTTGAACTCAGGATTTTAATCCAAATTCATAAGTATTTCTGTGCCGTATCTAGAAAAAGATACTGCAACAAATGACCTGTCCATTTCACTGGGATGTACACCCCACACAGTTTCATTTAATTAATATCTAAACAGTGCTTTGAAGTGCTCAAATGAGAGAGGCAGGGATAGACCTAAAAACAGTTTCACTTTTCTGAAAGTGTTTACATGCTTTTCATTACCTTCATTAGTTCTTGTAATTTTGGGTCATTTCTTGAATTTGGATCAACCATTGTTCGGACTTCATTTTCCTCTGGAAGGTTTAAAAGAAAGATATTAGAAACTATTACAGGCATGACACTTTATTTTACATCAAGCTTTTATGTTGAGATGTAAAATTGTGGTGAATTACCTAGCATAGTGTCCTCAGGGTCTAGTTCGAATGGAATTGGACTGAGAGGTAAGTTAATGGCATTTATTCCTTCTTCCTGTAATTCAGATACTAGGAAATAAAAAAGAAGAGCTTGGTCAAATTTCAATTCAATTTTACTTACTATTTCACTCTTGCTAAAAGTAGCATTAATTGTCTTAATTTCTTTATAAGAACATGACTCTATTAGATAAGCCACTAGGTGTAATTACAGCAATAAAACATAGCTAACAAAAATGGGAGGCCCAGCCAACAAACCTTTACTTGTATGAGTAGATTTTGCATGGATAATGGGACGGGAATCAATGCAATTTCCTCAAACCTTTTCCAGGATAAGGCCCATTGTCCTCAAATTTTAAAAGGTTCCCTTGCATTTTAATAATTTTGACATTTTAACACTAATGAATCATTTTAGCTGAGGGAAATGATTACTGCTCTCAGCAACGTCACCCTGGCTCTGGGGATGCTTCAAGTTTAGATACTTCAGAAGAGCTGGGTCTCGCTGTATATCCACCACACAGGAGGTGCCAGACTGACAAGCCCTTTAGGACTGAAGGTGCAGGCGCAGCACACGGCTACCTCACAGACCAACTACAGCACACTGTGGGATGCTTCTGGCCTGTGTTCTTGGGCTTTCATCAGTAACCATGGCAGCAGGACACAGGTGTAAGATGACGAACCCACGAAAGTACTGCCTTTGTGCAGAGTTCAGACACGGGTTGGGAAAGAATCTGGACACAGGAATGAGGACGTAATCCAGGATCCCACAGTTTGGAGATGCCCACCGCTGTCAGGAAATACGGATGAGTTCTTGCTCAGCCAAAGTCCCCTAACACTGCAAAAATCAATGTTCTTATAACACATGGTCTGAGAGCGCAGGAGCAGAGAGATGCAGAGAAGTGTAAAGGCAGCCCTGCCACTAGTTCTGTGCAGTACAGGTTCTGTACCCGGCCCAGTTCAGAGCAACTTCATTCATTCCTCCAGGTGACCCAGACTTTAACAGGCTGCAGAGACAAAACGCTTCCTTCACCGCCCAAACATGCTTCCGTAACAGAAGAGAATAAATACAACCAACCCAGTACGCTAATCCCACCACTATGGAGGAACACAACGCACTGGGCAGGGAGAGGACCCACTCTGGGATCAGACAAGTTCGTACCTCAGAAGTCGCTGTCTTATGAATGACAAGTAAGCAATGTTGTTTTGACCACTTGTTTTCCAGTGTACAGACCTTCAACAGAACTGGTTACAGCAACAATACAACTGTTCCAGTCGGAGTTTAAACCTAAAAAGCTTCCTTCAACCATTCTGCACGCGTCCTAAAGATTCAGGTAACTGTACACACCTTCTGACATGGACTCAAATATATGATTTATATGCAGATTTACCATTTAACATTTCAGATATAGTACCTGAAGCTTTCCTCAGTTTAATTTGAAAATTACAGAAACAATTTAGGTTCGGAGAAAACAGAAAAGTAGAAAGGGACCTTGTGCTTTGTTCCTGTCCCCGTGGCTGCCTTGTAAGTTAGCTTTTGGAAAACAGTTTTACCTTTCTGCCTTAACTTCCCGTGTGTAGTACGCACAGCTAAGTTTCACATGAACACTGAGATAATCAGTCAGTTGGTGTGATAACAGTACTTAAGACTTTCCAAATATTTTCTGTGCTTTGTGAAACGTTTTGTGCTCTGCCAGGTGAAAGGCCTGTGCATATTTCAAGAGTGTGTGTAGCTGTATTCAGACACCTATGTGAGATTCACAGCAGTAAGGCTGGTAGAATGCTTATTACTTTTATTTGCACAGAAATAACTTTGAAAAATCCTTGCCTTCAATACTGAAACACTAACTTCACTCCACGCATTCACCCCGCTTATGTATCTGTAAAATACAAACACTGAGGAGCTCTAAGAAGTTGTAAAATAATGTTGACAATAATAGTTCCCTCGATTGTTGTATATCCTCTGAAACTGATGGCTGAGAGCAATGGACCAAATTAATCCCTCATGTAACTCCACTGAGTTCTGAGGAGTTATAGAAAGGATGAATTTGGTCTAGCATGTACAATCTCAGGAACTGTTTACACTTAATGGCAATTTTTGAACTGCTAGCACTCCTTAGAGAAAATCATTGCTGGTTTTATTAACCTCTTTGATTTTTATTTTTTTTTAATTTTGGTTCAAAATGGTTATGGGCATAAAAATGTCAGTGGATAGAAGACTTCCATGTGGAGGTCTTTCTGTTCTGAAATGTTCAGTGCATGGACGACTTACACACAAAGGTTCCTCGGCAGCAAACATTTTTTTTCACATTGATCCCAAGAGGGAACATAGTAAATAAAATCTGTTCAAGCCAACTGCCTCCACTGATTTCTCCCATCCCAAAGGGCTGGATGCTCTGCTCGAGCAAGACACACTGAAGGAAGCACCCAGCTTATTTTCCTAGTGAAGGACAGGGGGGGGAAGATTTTGGCTTCTCTCTCCAGGGAGCAACCCACTGGCAGAGCTCACGGACACTTCTTCAGGGAGACTGGGTGGACCTTTCAAGGCTGAATGTTTTCAGGCATTCTTTACAAGGCCCACTGAACCTCCCCATATTTGCCCTCCACTGTGCACAACTATTAAATTCTACTTTTAATAACATAACCTTCATCATATTATCAGAGTTTCTGAAAATAAAGCAAACAAAATAATGCCCTATCTTTGCATGGAAAGGGAACATAAAATACAAATAAAATAATAATAAATACACAAGAAAAACTAATACACTGTTCCAGAACGCACTGCAAGTGTGGTATTTATTGTAGAGCAGGGCCTAAGTCCTGCTTCGCTGTACACCGGTATACACGAGCGGTGCTTCTGTTCCCCCAGGCAGGTCACTCGAATCGCCAGTATTTCTCACGCCTGCCCAAGCCACATGCAGAACCTACCCAGCACACCTCTGGATGACCCAAGATCCCAGATGGATCCAGTTTGCCAGAGGACAGCTCCTCCTTAGCCACTGCACTCTGCAGCGCACAACCCATGCCCAAGGTTTGTATTAGTCCTGTAATAAAGACTCCTCCTGCCCTCCTGTCCCCTACAAACAGAAAACATGATGGAGAAACCCCGAGCCTGATAGCATCTTTTTCATTTCTTTCCCAATACCGAAAAGATTTAACAACAGATTATTAAGACTACTAAAAGGAGCAGGTAAGAACACATGAATTATATCAAGCTGTACATAAAGGGAGAGAAAAGGTATTATGTAGTATAGCCTCACTTTCTAAACATTTCTATCAAAAACGTTCCATGACAAACCACTATTATACTCAGGTGTTTATAGAGGAACCACAAAAATGTGATTGAGGTTAAGAGTTTGCATGCCACAGTTTCAGCAGAGGAATCCATTTTTCAGATGCTTTTCATTAATTTGTTATAATTAATTTTCATTAAAATCACTTCAGCAATTTAGTATTTCAATAAAAACAAAGCACACAGGTTTGAGACACTTTCTGCAGCAGCTGAAATTAAAATAAGATCATCTAATTTCTTGAAATACTCTGTGGAATGATTTGGAGCGTCGGGAAGATCCCCACTCTGAGTCTGACAGTGTACAGACCAGGAAGGGAAGAGGGGACACCGCTGCAGCAGGTCATTTATACCAGAGCAGCTGCCAGGAGGCAGAGCAGTGCACGGGGACCCACGGCAGCTCCTCTGCAGGGCAGCGTCCACCGAGTTGTCTGCTGTGACATCAGGCACGCCTGCCCACTGGACAGCCCCACCGCTAGACTGAAGAACCCCTTCCTGTTCTCACCCTCTGCTGCAGCCCAGATACCGCCCGGTGTTGGCTACCGTGGGGCTTGTTTTCATCGTGCTTACATTGGCGCGATTAGGGACTTTATCCTTTTGGGCACGAGAGGAAAATCCAGTCCTTCATGGTTTTTTTACAAAAGTAAACCCCCCAGGCTGAGTGGAACTGGGGGCTGAATGTACTTTTAAAGGCAGACCCTTAAAAGCAACAGTTACACATGGGCCAGACAAATCTCGATGTGAAAGTGCGTTTTAGCTCTGGATAAGAAATGGACACTTCTGCCCAGACTTCTGATTCAGCTCCACATGTCAAATTTGTTATGATGTCATCAAGCGCAACTCCGCTGCTATCAGCTGTCAACAGACTTCCTCCTATCATGCCAGCACCAAATTTGGCCCCAGAGCTGGGGAGCCCACAAGCTTGTATCAACAGCAACTACAGCAGCTATTTTAAGCTGGAGAGAGTTCTTACTGTTTTAGATGCTCTAGGATTACAAGGTCATAAACCTATGCTATCAAATCCATGCAGGTGCTCCGAGCCAGGCTTTGCCCTTTGATGCATGCATCCAACTGCCATTGAAACTGCTGGACGCCGAGCACATCTGACCTAAATGATTCTATGAAAGTGGAGTACTGCCCATACGGTTTAAATTGGCTTAATTCCTCTAGTACATGAAGCCTGTTGCTCCACATTGTATTTATTAGACAGTTTCATTTGGGTTTTTTACTTGTTTATTTTGTGTGCTGAAGGCTTTTTGCTCCCCTGTTTAGTATTCAGGGCTTAATGTTATTCTGATTTGAATAAAACGCATCCTATTATTTAACTGAGCTCAGAAATGCCACATCACCCAATGCACTCTCTGTGGTTTAGACGTATTTTAGCATATCTATCCAATGAATCATAAAATAAATACAGCAAGATGTAGTGTTAAATGGTCGCTCCTCTGAGTGCTACAGCCATGTCTTTCCATATAATTGATTCCGTACTTACAAAACTAAAATTACTCAAGTGCTACAACACTAACAGACAGATTCTGAAAGTCTGTGACTAACTAGAACTGAGCCCTAATGCTGGAGGAGCACAGTGACACAACATTTCTAACCTCAGTCTTCCAAACCCAGCAGATTTAAATACATGCATACACACCTACAGAAATATATACACACACACTTCTGCAGTTCTTTAACTGCCTTTCTTTAATGTAAGGGTTTTCCATTCAAGGTCTTCTCTGCCATTTTTAAGATTGCAAAGACTTTTGGTTTTGGGTTGGGGGGGGGGATCATT